TTTTAAATTGGCTAACAGGATATTCAGTTGATAAATCTCTAGGGCATATATTTTGGATATACATCTGGAGAGTCCTCTGAGGAAAATAAATTTTATTTTCTATTGTTGAGAAGCAATTAGTTTTCCTCAAATTCTGAAGGGTCTTCAAGGGGTTACCCAGTTCAACTCTCAGCAGGCTTTGAATCTAAAACCAGGCTGTAGAAATGTGGGGTGACCCCTTTCCCTTAATTAGTGATCATACCCCATGCATTTTGAGGTTTTTACCCATATTGAAAACAGAGAGGGAACAATTATTCTGAACAAGTCTGTAATTCAAATTTGGCCAACATGTGCGGTTCAGGTGCAGTTTACTATTCCTCTTTATCTGTTGGCCACACGTGGAGCGGCAAATGGAAAGCGGTCTCAAAGCGAGAGGTCTAATTCTCTGAGAGAGCGGGCTGTAGAAGCAGCATCTCAGGGCCTCCTTTGGCGGAGGGCGGCAGGAAACCGAAGGGAAAGGTAGGTAGAGAATGAGCAGATGGAGCTGTGGAAGGTCAGAGTTTCTGGAAGGATTCCCGGATGAGGTCTGGGGCCAGAGCGCATTCTGAGTGAGGGAAGGAACACGCACGGTGGCTCTTTCCTCCGAGGTTGCCCTGATTCTAGAAGCACGTTAGCCAAAGACGCGCTGGGTGATAGGTTTCGCTTGGAATCTCTGGCTGGATGGTGCAGACCTCCTAATTCCTGCCTTTAAACAGGATGGCATGCCAGATCTACGTGAACACTGTGTGTATTGCACACCAGATTTTCTCGGAGGCTCTCTCAGCCCGTTTTGATTTGGATCATAACTGTGACCATGCATTATGTATGCACTGATGTAGCGTAAGGAAAATTAAAAGTGCACTTAACAGGCTGACCTAAATGCTCCCGTGGCTGGCTCCATATGTGTATTTTGGATGCTTTTAAACATGACAGCACATCCCCCCCACCCAAACTCCCAAACTCTTCTATATTCCACGTTAAAGCTCCAAGGATTTCATGTCATGTGCTCTCAATGCAATATAAATTAGGGAATCAGCCAAAGGCACACTAAGAACTTGCTGTAAGATTCTAGTTTTGCTGTTAGACATTTTTTTTCCCATTATCTGAATGTAAGGGAAAACCATACATCTATTAATATTTTTATGTAGGAACTTTAAACTGTGACAGCTGTTGATATTGAGCTCTTTAAAACACTACATTCTAGATCTCTTACATGTCATCATCTCTACTAGTCTTGGGTAAATCACTTCGCCTTCTCAAACATGAATTTTTCTTTTGGTAAAATAGCAGGGCTGAACTTCTGGGCCTCTTTCAAACCTTTCGTTCTATGACCGTATGATTACTTTATACTCGGGATTGTACAAAGGTTTTTGGAGAGCAGACTTCAGGGTTAGCTTTTCTACATAGAACATCTCCAAACATCTCTTATCTTGGCTGTTCTCATGAGGCCTCTGTGAGATTGACTTCGAATCCCCTGCCATCCTGGCTCAAGTCACAGTCCTGTTCACTTGCCATTTTGTCTCTTTGGGCTACTACCCTTTTTAAAAAAAATTTAAAAGTATTTATTTATTTAATTCCATTTGTTATTATTTTTTAATTTGACCAGAGAGAGACAGAGAGAGAGAAAGGGGAAGCGAGCCGCCAGGTCCAGGTCTAGAACCGTGGTCGGCCATGTGGGAATGCAGCACCTCCAACCACCACGCCATCTGCTGGCCCCTGGGCTACTGCCTTTTTTGTAAGTTTCTTTCTTTCTTTCTTGCATGTAAGAGAAATGAGAGGGGAAGAGAGGGAGGGAAGCAAGGAGACAAAGAGGGGGAGAGAGGCCGTGATCCACTCCTAGCTCAGCTGGCTCGGATCATGTGCATGCACATGTATGCCCCGTGTGCTCGGGGAGGTCCTGGGGTGCAAACCAGGACCTTTCCCATGTGAGTCCAGTTGTGTTAGTCCCTGTGTGACTGCCTGGCCCTGGTTCTTCCTTTGAACTGATTTCTGTCTCCATCCTCGCTCCACGCTCTTCTCCACACATCACCACCCTGATCTTTTGAAAGCTAAATCAGAGCATGTCTTTCTTCAGCCTAAAACCCTTCAACAACTTCTCCTCGTCCTTGAAAACACAAGTACATTCCTGCTCCAGGCCCTTTGCACTTGTCATTCCCTCTGTCGGGAATGCTTTTCCCCTTGATCTTTGCACAGCTGCTTCTTGTATTTTCTTAACGAAAAGCTGCTTTCAAAAGCAGGTTGCAGCTTAAATATCACTCCTTCAGAGAAATCTTCCCTAACCACTCTTCTAAACTAGTCACATCCCCTACGTAACATCCGACACATCACATGGTTTCATATCTACAGACCATATCCCACCTGGCACGATTCTCCCTGTTGATTTTTTTCCTATTACTGCCTGTCTCATTCTTGTAACAAGCACACTTCGTAGGATCAGGGACTTTGTTACCTTGTTCCTGAATAGCCTTAGCATATGATAGTTGCTCAGGTAATGTTTATAGACTAGATGGATAAATGAATGGATGGATGTTACAGTCCAGAAACCTACATCACACAGAGGTTGTAGTCATTGTAGCTAATTAGAATTAGGACTCAACCTAGACTCAGGCTTCTTCATGCATTGCCTTCTTCCAGGTCAAGCTGCCGTACGCAAGCCTAACTTAGAGATCACTCATTCATTCACTATTGGTTTATTTATTCACTAAATACTTTTGAGCTCGTATAATGTTTCAAATACTACTTTAGGTCAACTGTTCTCTACCAGGGGTAATTTTGCAGCCCTAGGGACATTTAGTAGAGTCTGGAGGCATGTTTGGTTGTTAGGACTAAGGTGGAAATGCTATGGGCGCCCAGATGGCAGAGGTTGGGGTGCTATTAAACATCGTACAGTGTACAGAGCAGCCTCCCATGGCGACAAATTACGCAGCCTGAAGTGTCAACAGTGCTGAGGTTGGGGAATCCACTCTGCATGACCAGGGGGTCCTGCCTTTGTGGAGTTTATAACTTGCTGTGGGCAGACAGATGATAAACAGTATATACCATAGACTCTAAAATTGTAGGCTATGCCAAAAAGTGGTGTGATGGAAAAAAAAAGCAAAAGCAGAACAGAATAAAGAAGAGTGCTTATGGATGCCCTGGGTTGTGATGGGGGTAGGAAGGTCTATAATTTTTTTTTTTTTTTGGAGAGGTTTTTGCTATAGGGTGCGTGCGCTCTCCAGACAGACAGAGAGACAGAGACAGAAAGTGAGAAATCATCCCCCGCCGCGGATGGCCACGCCGCAATCCCTTCTCCTCTGTTCTCCTCTTGGGATCTTGGGCACACACGCACATGTGCCTGATGTGAGTTTTAAGCCACCAGGTCTGGTACGGGAACCACAGTTGACTACATGGGAGTCCAGCAACATAGCCATTACACTAACTGCTGGTCCCAATCTATAATATTTTTTAAAGAATCATTTAATTTTATTTATCATTATTTTATTATTTAATTTCCTATAGGACATGTGCACTCACCAGAGAGACTAAGACAGAGAGAGAGAGGGAAACTGAGAAAGAAAATTGCCAGGTCTGGGACTTGAACTTTGGTTGGCCATGTGAGAGTCCAGCCCCTTAACCACCATGCCACCTGCTGGCTCCAGGAGGAAATGACCAGTCCTATTGGTCCAGCCTAGTGCTGCACAGCCTTGGACCACCTAGCTTCAGAGAAATTTATAAAACCCTCCTGAACGAAGGGACAGCGTAACCTCCAAATAAAAATAGAGCAAACTGCTAATAATTATGTTCTGCCCCTTTTCAGGAGTGTTTAAATTCTCCTGTTTCTCAGCACCTTCAGTGCTCTGTCATCACTGGTGCAGGACAGTGTTAATTTGATGCAATTTTTATTGCTCATTGTCAGCTTCTCACTTTTCTCGCAGAGCATGGTGTGATTTCAGCCTCTCTCAATAGCATCCTGAGTGTTTTTGGTTGTACAGTTATTTGTCTGTCTGTCTAGATTGATTTCTTAAACCCAACAGAAGCAATTGTAGCTATTAATATCCCGGGGAAGCTTATAGTGTTGAGGCTGATGAAACCCAGGCCAATGATGCAGCTATTAACACATGCACACATGCATACAATACACACACACATAAATCCACACATGTGCATAGGTATGCATATATAAATGTATGTTTAAGATCTCATTAAAAATCATAATAAAATAGTGGTTTTGATAATTTGGTAGACATGGCTGATACTTGATCTCTGTTTTTTTTACAACAATTTTTTAATATTTTAATTTTTTCTAGAGGGCATACATGCTTACTGGAGAAAGAGAAAGAGAGAGAGGGCACCCACCCCCCATGTCATGGTCACACCACAGTCCCTTCTTTTCCATCTCTCTCTTCTTTCAGGATCTTGGGCATGCATACACATACCCAGTGTGTTTCTCAAGCCACAGGATCCGGGACTCGAAATTTGCCATGTGGCATCCAGCTGCCTTAAGCACCACACCATGGGCTAGCCCTCTATAACAATTCTTTATCAAACATGGTGCTTAGTAGATTAACAAATGTTTGTTGAATGGATAAACCAGCTACACAATTCAGCTCAAGATTACTGGATTCCAAATTATGAACTTGTATCACTGAAACACAGTTTGGCAATATAACAGCATGTTCTTAGGGCATTCTCTTTGTGATCATTTCTAAATCTGTTTTTTTTTAAATTAAAACATTTTTTAGCATATTGCAGGGGATATAATTTATTCATAGACTATCTGAATCCAGGAAGCATGAGACTCAGTAGTTAATATCATTGGCATACACCTTGTGTCTGTGGAGAAATGATTAAGCAAGGCAATAGATTTGAATGAATGTTATGTATTTAAATGGATACTGTTGAAGAAATGATGCACAGTGCACCCCGTTGTTTTGGGAGCCATTTTTCTCTGTTAAAGAACTCATTGGTCAGTTCACTGGATGTGTGTCCTTTTTTTTTTCCAGTGCTATTTCTTCACGATCGAGTTTGGCCTTTGCAAACAAGAAGGGCAGCTGCGGGCTTATGGGGCAGGCCTACTTTCTTCCATTGGAGAATTAAAGGTACGAAGCCGTGAATGAAAATATCCTTCCCTAGCAAACTAGTTCAAGGTCATGGAAAATATCGATTTGTTTGTCTGAGCATTTCTCCTCACAGATACCCCATAAATATTTAATCTAGAGGCTTTGGCACCTCCGATGTGGGTGCTGACCTAACTTTGGCACTTCTAAAAATGGGTCATACCTTTCTGGGTTTGTGGTGTGACTCAAATGAATGAGCAGCTATGGGCACAAATGAACGGGAATGACAAATGTGTGCTTAAATTCTGGGGAACAAATGGCTGGCCTAAATTTAGTGCCCGACCGTTGGCAAGGAGGGAGCAGTGATCCCACAGGTGGAAATTCACTTGTGAGAGAGAGGCTTGGCACTCTGATTTCTGTCACCTCCATGGCTCCCATTGCCTCTCCAGCATCTGCTTCCCGAAGAGGACTTTAAGATTATTTCAGCTTATTAGAAATCAATGTGTCTTGAAATATTTGTGTGCATATACAGTTTTGAAAAAACTAAATTGATGTATTTAAGAGAGGTAGCTAATAGGTGTAGTGATGCCTATGGAATATATTATTATTATTATTATTTGCTTTAAAATACAGTCGAGAAATAATTTATTTGGTAATGTTAGGACCTGAATCAGCATGATAACTAAATATATTCTGGTTATTTAAGAGTTGCTATCTACTTCTGGGAGCTAGTAAGTTTTGGTGAGGTCAGAGAGCAATGTGATACACAATTAGAAATTGTACTGAGAGCAATTTACTATTTCTTTGATTATTCAGACTAAGACCCTAAGATTTTCATTTGCGCATTGGTTATTTTTATATAATGTAATTGTGGGCTATATGGTTATTGAAAATTTTTGGTTATTTGCATTCTTGAAAATGTAATATAACTCTAGTTTTATTGAGTCTGCTCCTTTTATGATTCTATTTCTTTTTTATTTATCCCTCAAACATTTGCCTGAGCATAAATACTGTGCCTTGTACTGTACCAGGTTCCAGGGATAAAAAAACAAATAATGGCAAAGAATAAGAACAAACAGAAATTACCCATAACATCAGTAAGCATCTACATTGACCTTAGTATTTTTGGTGCTGTAAATATATGAACCACCTTGATCTTCACAGCATCCCAATGGAATAAGTGATATTACCATAGAGAAAACTGAGGCGTAAAGACATTCAGGATCTTGCCTAAAGTTATGCAACTAGTATAAACGGTTTTCAAAAGTTCTTGGAAAATGTGTGTTATGAAAAACCTAGGTATCAATTTCAAAATTTTTTGGACCAAAATAAATTCCCTGTTCAGTTCCTTTGCCCAGAGCCCTCCCCTAGCTCTTTAAAAACTTCTGTTTAATTCCATTTTCCATGAACTTTTGGAAGTCTCTTCATCAGTGTTGGAGTTGGGCCAAGTCTAGGCAGACTCAGCTCACCCAGGAGCTGAACTCTTAGCTCCCAGGCTATACTGCCCAAGATCTGTGCTCTCAAGGAGTTTACATTCTAGGGCAAGAGATAAAAAGCCAAGCAGATAACAGACAGTGTGACAGATGTGGCTGGCATATGATAGGCCAGGTCTGACAAGGCTTCCTTAGGTGGGCCCGGCTGCCCCAGCTGATTCTGGAGGGTGGGAAGAGTGGATAAGGAAAGGGTCAGTCAGTGCACATTGGTGGGCGCCCCACCCGGACCACAGTCAGAGCCTGCCTTACGTGGGTATGGGCTGGACCTCAGTATAGCTGTAATGGAGGTTTGTTTTTTTTCCTTAAATTCTTGGAAAAAAAAATCCATTTGGGGTTAATCTCTGTGCAGTAGCTGAAGCTCACAGAGGCATGATGTAATGTCCCTGTAAGACCACGTTCTCTGTAGAGTGTGTCTTGATTTCCCTGAAAAAAAAAATTAGAAAAAGACGTATCTCTTGAGCTGTATCTGTTCACATTCTCCTCAGATGGTTTATAAGTTACACCAGAAACAAAAGAAACAAATCTCTCTCGCCCGGACTTTCGACAGGGTCTTCTGATCTGGCTAATGAGGCATGTGCAGGCAGCACTGGGGTGAATCTGTTGTTTTCGTTCCTATTGGTGCGGACAGAATCAGCTAGAAATGGAAATCAGCCAGAAATATGTACACTGAAGGGCATTGTCCTCGGTGCCTCTTCTTGTTCTGGCCCATCACCTGCAGTCATTAGCATTCTTCCATTCTCAAATTTCAACACTTCGCCATCCCTGTGATTGCGACCTCAGACCATTTTACAATTCGGAAGTTCTTCCTATGAGAAATAATTTCAGATCGTTCAGAGAATATATAGTATGATTCACTTTCTCCAGAATCTCTGCTCAGCTCCTGTGCCCAGTGCCTTCTCTAAGCTCTTTGAAAACTTCTGTTTAACTTTTATTTGAATGAATAAATGATGGCCCTGGGCCCTTTTAGATCTAACTTTATTAATAGCATCATCCTAATTCCGGTGTGCACACACTTACAGTTCCAAACATGATTCCCTTTTGCAGTAAGACATTTTATGCTGCGCCACCTGTAGCCCAAATGTACATCCTAGCTAAACTGCTGGAGGTTTTGGTGTATTTTTTTTTTTTCATAACTTTTATGTTAGTATCCACAATTCCCCTTCTCTCATTGAACAGAAAACTTTCTGAAATTTGTGCTATGAGAGGCTAAAAATTCTTGATGACCAACTATTTTCAAGGAAAGTCTGCAGGTTGGAGTATAACTTTCATTTTTGCCTCTTTCTCTTTTTTTGGCAAAGTATATTTTCATTTTTGAAGACAGAAACCAAAAGAAATATGAAAAAGCTAACATAAATCTTTTAAGCGTAGAGATGACTTTTTCCCTCTTAGCAATGACTGACTGCTCTCTCTCATTCAAATGATCTCTTCTTTTTTTTTTTTTCCCTCAAGGATTTTATAGTTTAGCAGAGAAGATAAATATCCATATACATAAACAATGACAGTAGTACCACAAGCCCAAGGAAAGTGGTAGAGATAATTCTCTTTTTTTTTCTTTTTTAAAATTTATTTATTTATTTATTTATTTTTATTATCATCATAATCTTCTTTATATTACATTGGATTACATATAACTTTACAGTGTATTACAATTCTTTTTCAAAAGGGAATGCCATGCATATCAGTCAATACAGAGACATTAATCTCCCTGCTTCAACATTCAATATCTTTTCTGTGTTTTCCCCAATCAGTATTATTATTATTCTAATTACTTTTTTTAAAATAGTCAATCGCTATTTCTCATTTTGCTTGTAAAAATACTTTGCCCATCATGAAATACTTCTCAGACCAATCCAGTTGAGAATACTATACATGTCATCACCAACAGGTAATAAGCCATATCTGTTTCTCACTAACGTCCTGCCTCTCTATTGTTCTCTTGCTATCTTTCTCTATCCTCTTCTCTTCACCTCCCCCATTCCACACTGTCCTATTCTCATTAAGTACCTTCACTGCTTTTATGTCCTCCAATTTTTCGCTCTCTACCATAGAGTGTGGATAGTCGGTATATGTTGAGTGGATACATACAATATCTTTCTTTCATAGCCTGGCTTACTTCACTCAGCAGTAGATCCTCCATATCTGCAACTTTCTATCAAATGCCAGGGTCTTGTTATTTTTTATGGCTGAGTAGTATTCCATAGAGTATATATAAATGATCTCTTCTGTGGTGTATTTTCAGGAATTCCAAAAGCATGTTTGGGAAAGGCTTTTCAAGACCTTCTGTCACCGTGGGCAGCATTTAATCATAAGCTGAGTTATCTAGAAAACTGACTTTAAAAAAAGTGAAAATAGTTTAATTGATTGCCATTCGCTCACAGATGAGCATAAGTGGGGACTTTAAACATTTCATGGAAAAATAGGATTAAAATGTGAATTTATTTTGATGCAAAAAAATCAAAATCCATGCATTATTTTTTTCAGAGTCAACATCTTTTATGAACTTTTTGGAGACCCCTCTTGTGTCTCACGCTCTTTTTCTCTTTGTTCTAGAGTTGATCTAATGATATATCCATCATTTTTTAAAATTGATTGTCTGCTCCTTCATTCATTTTATTAAACAAATACAAAAATGATGGTCTAGATGCCAAGGAATTTAGAGCTTCATAGGGAAGTTCTAAGAAACTGATTGATACGGGTCTTTGCTGAACCCAGGTCTCTTGGAAAAGTCACAGCCAAGTTCGTTCATGTTGAGTGTATGGAAATAATTGCTAATCGATAAACTGGCAGAGTCTTATCACAAAAAGTTCATCTATCTCAAAAGCAATAGGCAGCTTTTCTTTCTTTATCACAGGCAAGGAAAAGATCTAATTCTTTTTTCTTTTTAATTATATTTGTGTTTTTCGCTAAAATAATTACACAATATTCTATTATATCCTTTAGGCCAGAGATTAGATTTTTTTTTTTTTAATGGTCTTAACACCTATCCCTTCATAGTTGCTGGACTATTCCATATAAATACATCTGTTTTGCTTTTCAGGTCTTGACAAAGCTGATAATATAGAAGTTTTAAATTATTATTACTTTTTGGCTTTCACTTTAGAAAATTCTTGCATGGCGGATTTATGGTATTGCCTTTCAGTAGCTATTAATCAGCATTCTCAGAACAGCTTTATATTTATTACAATCATTCGTATTTACTACCACTTGCAGCCACTCTGGGGCATATTCAGAATTATCGCCAGGTTATGGAGAAAAGGCACAAGGGGTTTGCAGGTTCTCTGAGGTCATCTGGTAGGTCAGTCCTGTGGTGAGAGTTATGACTCAACACTGCTGGGCTCCCATACCTCCACCCTGTTCAGATGGCTCACGCCTCCCTTCTTCCTCCCCTTTCTTCTCATGAAGGCAGCATTGTTAGCAACAACAGAGTGAATGCTGAAGGACTGGGAGCTGGAAACTGTGTACTGTATCTTTGGCCTTTACAAAGATGGCTTAACAAGGGAGGCTATCCCCCTGCCCCTGCAGCTTATTCAAACTGATGCAACCTTCAGC